CTTATGTGTGCTATGACTGTATAATACTTCATATGTTGCTCAGCTATGTCGGCTGAGTACAGCAATACCCCCGTATGTACCTTTGCCAGGTATATGTGGATGTTGAAGGGGCGCATTTGAGACGCAGCCATTCAGTTTTTTTCTAACTTTGAAGTTTTACGCTGTGTCCATGTTCCAATTTGGAGTAGTTTAGACGGTTGGTTATTGAAACTTCCCCACAAACACATACTATTTATTAAAGAATACACCCTGGGGTAATTCAAAAGGCATATTTTGAACCTTGGCGTGGGATAATTTTTTTCTCTAGTTTGCTCCAGGTGTAGTGGTAATGAGCGTTTTTAAAATGTATTTTTTTACTTTTTATAACTTTTTTACTTTTAAAAACTAGTTTTTAAACTTTTGTTTTGCTTATAAATTTTTTTTAAACTTTCCTAAACTTTCTTAAAACTTTTTTACAGATTTAACATTTTTCTAAGCTTTTTTTTTACCGTTAACCCCTAACTAGCAGTACGCAGCACTAACAGTAAATTCCCCATTTTCCCATAACTCCCACCCACCCCAGCTAGCAAAATATATAGTTATAAAATATTTAAATTAATTAATTAAATAAATTGAACCCCTGAGGGTTAAAAAAATAAATAAAAGTTAATCCTCAGGGGTTAAAAAAAATTAGATCACAGTATAATACTGTGATCTCTATTTGATCGCTGTAGGCAGTGATCGACTGGCAGGGAAGGGGTTAATTTTTATTTGGACTAGGTAAAGTGTGTTTTTTTGTTTTTTTTTTTACTTAAATGTTATTAAAACATTTTTTTAAGCTTAATTTTTAACTTTTTAAAGTTTCTTTTAAAACTTTTTTTTAACGTTAACCCCTAGTTAGCCTAACGCCAAATCCCCCAATTCCCCACTAACTTCCACCCACCCCAGCTATCTAAATATATAATTTTAAAATAATTTAATTAATTAATTTAATTAATTTAACCCCTGAGGGTTAAAAAAAAAAGAATTAACCCTCAGGGGTTAAAAAAAAAATCAGATCATAGTAAAATGTAATCCCTGCCAATTGATCACTGTAGTCAGTGATCAATTGGCAGGGAAGGGGTTAATTTTTTTATTAAAATGGGTAAGGGGGGGGGGACTTTAAATAAACTTTATTTTTTTTTCCAGCAGGGGGCAGGATCAGCACTGATCCGGCTCCCTGCACTTCACACAGAACCCGGAAGTGCAGGGAGCCGGTAGGTGAGTATACTGAGCACATGTGCTCGCTCCGACTTGTGGTCAGAGCGAGCACATGTGCTGGGCAGCTTGACCAGGTGCTCCCGGTATGCCTCTAATGCAGAGGCATACCGGGAGCACCATTAACCCTGCGATCGCCGCGATAGCGGCGATCCGGGGTTAATTTTACCGCGTGACGGACGAGGTCCTTCACCCGTCGTTAAGGATCTCCCCTGTGTGACGGACCTCGTCCGTCACCCGTCCTGAAGGGGTTAATGGAGTCTTGTGTCTGTCCTGGGAGATAATTGAATTACTTCTCAATTCAATCTCCAGGATAGAAGACTCTGAAACTGGTTTGGGCCAGAAAGCCATGCTTCATTTAGTCACAAAGGACTTTCCCTTAACTTTTGAACCCCTGGTCTGATTCGTGCCATTTTTTAATATGTTGTTGCCCTGAATGGATTGATTATGAAAATGTATGTTTTATGTTTGTGACATGTATATTTTAGAAGTTATAAATATTGTGTAAAAACTGTATTCCTCTGTCGGTGATAATGAGATTACCCATTGTGTTCAGTAATCATATCACATGCAGAGGGAAGGATTTTGTGTGGGAGTGTCTAGGTGTATTGTACGGATTGATTGGTTGTTTTGTAACGCCCTGTGGGCTGTACTATGTTTGTGGATTGGGAATAAAAGAGACTGTATGTGACAGTACAGGGAGTTCCTGCTTAACCCACAAAGTGAAGTGTCGTCTCATTATTGGAGGAGGATTCATTGTATGCTGTTCCAGTTTGACTGCTAGGAGTGTAAACCTATTCGCATGGTTTTTCCTATTCGGCTGTATACAACATTCATATGCTTGAGAGCATTCATATGCTCCTACGGTTCGGTGGTTTTGGTGTCTGCTGCAGTGCTTGGAGTCCTCAGGAAGCGCTAGGAGCATCCTTCAACGGAGGTACCCAGTCGGGGTGCCAGGTGATCCGTTACACGTATAACTGTGTATGATGACAAATTGTAGAAGTTATATTCACAAATGGCCACTCACACTTTTGCTGAAGTTTGCAAGCCTTGAATATTTTCCTTTTCAAAATAGGAATTCCAAATCCTCTGTCTGGGTTAAAATCTCCATAGATATATTGGCATGTATGTGCTCAGGAAAGAAATGTATATAAAAGAATATAAGATGCACATTCAGAGTAGGACCCCTGGTGGTGACATAGAGGGACTACACTGATGATTTTATATCTTGATGTAAGTTATTAAATACTTTTTTGTACTTCACTCTGAATGTGCATCTTATATTCTTTTATATACATTTCTTTCCTGAGCACATACATGCCAATATATCTATGGAGATTTTAACCCAGAGAGATGATTTTGAATTCCTATTTTGAAAAGGAAAATATTCAAGGTAGAAAAAGAGGTCGAATTAGTTTTCCTACTACTCTGACCAGCAAATACACTGGAAACAGGGGCAGGAAAAAGTTGGGTCAGGACGGTGGTATCAGCTCCACCTCAATATGGGCTTGTACCCAGAAATAATAAGCGAATAACAGAAAAAACTGAATAAAGAGGGCTCCCTCAAGGGGGTCCCTCAAATAGCTGATATGGATAATAAATACACCATGTATTATCTCTTGGTAATTGCTGAAGCGGTATATAATGAATAGGCAGTAGAAAATCCAATATTTTAAGATAAATCTACAAATATCTTGTATATATTCAAGGCTTGCAAACTTCAGCAAAAGTATGAGTGGCCATTTGTGAATATAACTTCTACAATTTGTCATCATACACAGTTATACGCTATGTTGTTTTATTTATGATTGGTTCAGCAGATCATCCCCCTTTTTATGCTTGTAAAGATCTGTGGGTTCCTACATTAAATTTGTTTTTCAAATCAAATTCAAGTCCTGGGAAGTGAAAGTTCCCCTTTAAGTTATTTGTGTGGCTTGTGTTAAAATATATATTTTTTTAAAGAAGAATGAGAGAAAATGCTACCTAGCTTTAAAGGGAATCACTATCTTTTTATTAAAACGTCTCCTTGAACGTAAGGTAAAGAGGAAAAGCACATCACATTTTTTTTATTTTTATTTATTGCATTGTGCAGACTGTTTGTGTTAACTTATTCATAATTTTATGATAGTTTTTGGATTTTATTCATAATCTATTTAGCTCTGTTTCAAATTGGTTTGCTGCATCAAAGGTTGTTTTTTTGTGATTAACCATCTGACGAATTAAAAAAGAAGGCAGAAAACACAGCATGTTCTATTTAATATATTGTCAAATTGAATTGTTGTCTTTTGTATTCATACTTGTAATTTGCTTCCTTCTTAGATTTTCTTAGTTTTTTTCATATTTTTCCCCTCAACTGTTTATTGTGCTGTTTGTTTTTTGTTCATTGTAATCAATAATGAAGGTAAGGGAGTTATTGTGAATGCAAATAATCTACCTAGTAGATCGATTGATATCTTGACATTTTCACATACTTTATTCTTTATAGACACCAGCATGAGTGAAATTGGTCACAACAGAACCTTACAGAGAGATTTTAACCTTATAGCTTTTTCCAGATATGGTGATCTCCAGATGGTGTTTTTTATTGGGACCTTGTTGATGTTTCTTCTCGCTACTCTTGGCAACATGACTATTAGTCTACTTGTATGTTTTGTGCCACATCTACACACTCCAATGTACTTTTTTCTTTGTAATCTATCTGTCCAAGATATCCTTTATGTAACATCTATTCTGCCAAAACTGATGGCCATCACTGCAACATACAATACCAAAATATCTTTTGCTGGATGCATTACACAGATGTTTGTATTTGTATGCTGTGTCAGCACAGAATTTTTCCTTCTGGCCTCTATGGCCTATGACCGATATGTGGCCATTTGTATTCCCCTACATTATTCTTTTATAATGAACAAAACATTATGCACAATAATGGCTTCTGTATCATGGCTTCTTGGTTCCTTAAATTCAATTATGTACTCTGTGCTAATATCTAATTTATCATTTTGCAATAACAAGGAAATCAATCATCTGTTTTGCGATGTTAAAACTATGATGTCTCTGTCCTGCAGTGATTTCACAAATATTCGAACAATAATGACCGTTGAGGGTGCACTTTGGGGATATGTGCCATTCCTGATGATTCTGATATCTTATGTATATATTATTTCTACAATTCTAAAGATCCACACCTCTGCCGGAAGACTCAAGATATTTTCTAGCTGCTCTTCCCATCTGACTGTTGTGATAATATTCTGTGCAACCTCTATTGTTCTGAATATGAAACCAACCTCTGAACATTCTCAGGAGCAAGATAAGTTGCTGTCAATGCTGTTTGTTGCTCTGGTTCCAATGTTAAATCCATTAGTTTATGCATTGAGGAACAAAGAGGTTCTGAAAGCTGTGAAAAAAATAGTTCACCAAATGGGTATAACACATAAAAAAAGAGCCAAAGATATTGTCAGGAACAATATTAAAAACAATTAGGAATCAATAGAAAAATAAATAAATTAAAAATGGGTAAATCTTTATATTTTACTTGTGTAATGTAATACTCACATCTGTACAATCAAAGACCATTTTGAATATTAGTAGCCTAAAACAAAATAAAGTAAAGTCAATAAAATCAATAAGTAAGTATAATATTTCATGTGTGAACAATGAGTGGGAAGAGGAAAATTAGTGGAAGAACTGGCTCAGAAAAAAAGTCCTTAACTTTGGATGTACGAGATGCTTGGGCTGTGTCACATGTGGCCATCTAGTTCCCACTAAATTCTTTGATTATCCTCACACAAAGAAAAAGTATGACATCAAACACAGAATCAGCTGCAAAACAGATCATGATTTACAAACTTTCATGTTCCGGTGGTTTAAATTACATAGGGAAGACAAACAGTTCTGTGTGAAAAAATTAGGGGATATAGATCCAGTATTAGGGCTGCAATAAGGGATGACCACACAGATAAACCAGCGGCGAGACACTTTTTGGAACATAAACACCCATTGGCTTCTTTAAAGTGTGTGGCCATTGATCACGTCCTATCTCCAGACGTGGCAGACACAGAGCAAACCGATTGCTTCAAAGGGAAACATTTTGGATCCTAGAGTTGAACACTATTGAACCTTTAGGCCTAAATGAAAAACTGACCTTCATACCTTTTATTTAATGTATATATTCCCCCACTTGTTATTATGGAGTCTTTTGCCAAATGGAAAAGGAAAATATGGTTGAAAAGATATCACCATTTTTAAAGAGAATGATGCTGTTCTGGACATTGTGGGTCTTACAAGCTGGGTCTTCTTTATTTATTTTTCATTTTAATATGTATCCTTTCACAGTACCTAATACTCTTGAAATTAAGTGATGTTACTGTTTAATTCAGTGACATGGATATATATTTAGTTATGTACATATGTACATATTCATATGTTGATACAGTGGTCGTTGGATCATCTTATATGTAGATTATTGTTATTTCTTTCTTCCTTTAGCCATTGATCAACACCCTTTTATACTTAAATTATAGTTTAAATTAATTATGTGAAATTCATTTTATTGTTCAATCTTTTTTATTGGTTTTATATTCAAGTAAATAAATAACAGTGGTTACAGAAGAGAAACGGTGGTTGTTACAAGTATTGAGTACACGAGTTTCCAGAAGAAAAAATACTGCTTTGTATGTTAGTTGTACAATACAAGATTTTCCACAGTTTTCGATTGGGTACGACAAATGAGTGGATTTCACAGAATCTTCAATATGCACATTCACATTTGTATCTTTACATATTTGTTTTGTACGTTGTTTCTCTTGTGCCTATCTTAACCCATTGCATTGTCTTATAACTTAAGTGGTGGTGTAACCACTACTTTAGGCTTCGCATTGTGCTAGGCATGAATATGAACTTGGGGGGAAAGATAAAGTGAGGCGGTTGGGGCAAGGGGTGGGGGGGGATTGACCTTTTTATCTTCATATGCCATGAAGTTGTGTGGTGAGGTGTGCTTAGTCATATATGTGCCCTAGAAGGCGTTGGTCCTCGGGTGTTCAGGTGAGGAGTAGGTGGTCTGGGGGGGAGGTTTGTATCCCCTTTGTTAAGTAGGCCTGAATCCCAGAGCCTCCAGGCTTCTTTCCAGAATGGTTTGGGGGGTCTAGTTAGTCTAGCCATAGTTTCGTATGTCTTAGTGTTTTGTATCGTTTGGATGCATGAATTTATGTCAGGAGAGGCCTCGGGGAGCCAGGCTCTGCTAATTGTAGAAAGAGCTGCAACTATGATGTGATAGGCTAGGTATTTTGCACCTTTTGTCATGTCTATTGGAAGGAGTTGTAAGAGGTAGATCTCCGGGCGTAAAGGTATTGTTACACCTGCTGAGTCTTTTATTAGTTGCCCCGTGAAATTAATTTCATTACAAAATATACATTGTACTAGAATAGTAATATTTTCCTAATATACACGATGCACTTGGGTACTGCACTTTATATACTATATATTAAGTGGTTATTTAGCAATGTAAAGATTCAATATTTTTTTCATTGGCTGATCTATACGTACTATTCATTCATGGTTTGCACTTTTCACTTTATTCTGTAAATGCAGTGATTTGCACTAACACTAGTTTCACTTTAATTCCATGTACACTTTACCGTTATATATGGAATATGCCATATGGCACATTCACTCACTGATGATTAGTACCATCTAATATGGTCCTATTACACACTCAGCACTTTATCTCTGTATGATAATCAGAGTTTCCTGTTCTGCACAGTGATCATTGATCGATCGAGCACTGATCACATATTGATCTTTTACCACTTTCTTACATTCTTAGTTTTGATTTGCCCTGTGGTACTTGGGGCTTTAATAGAGTGGATTTACAGTCACAATCACATTTGTGGTATCCATGACAGACATCATTGCTAGTTTACATACATCAATATGGTAACGGGTCCGCAAACACAGCACGGCATGACATCACCGGGGGAGGTGCTACATGGCACGCAGGTGCATGGAGGAAGGCCAGACGCTAACACACAGGTGATCAGGATTTGGTAAGTTTGTTTCTTCTTATATATAGTGATTTAGTTTTTCCTTGTTATGTCCTGAAGAAAGTTCTATTAGATAAACTGAAATGTTGACTGTGGGATCTTTGGATTCTGAAAAGAATATTTCACCTTACAAGACCTTGAGGGCCGGCTACTTATCTTTTGGTGTACATTGTGCAGCTGGGCACCGGGGCAGAAAAACTGGAAAGCTGGAGTGCAAAACCTATGAACTCGCTTTACACCAGATGCGTGAGTCAAACGCATCTATTGCTTGCATTCAGGAGACCCACTTCTCTCTCAAAAACCTCCCCAAAATTCTCCTCATCCAGGTACCCACTATGCTACTATGCACTAGCGCCCAACAAAACCAGAGGTGTTGGCATACTGTTCCATTCGGACTGGACTTTTCACTGTGAGAAAGAGTACAAAACTAATGACGTATGACTCCTTATATTGGTGGGACTACTTAACGATATCCCAATGACCATAACCTATATGCCCCCAACACCAACCAGTATGACTTTATTAGAAAAGCTTTGAACAAACTAGACAAGTTAAAGCTGGGGCAAATGCTTATTTGTGATGATTTTAACTGTGTGTTGGACCCTGAACTAGACAGATCCGGAGACCTAGGTTCCCACTCGCGCTCCACACCACTCAGCGCAAAGCTATCAGCTTTGATGCACTCTTATGGCCTACACAACACATGGCACTCACTATACCCAGCTACTAGGGACTACACCTTCTATTCAAAGGTCCATAACCAATACGTTCGCATAGACATGTGCCAAGTTGACGCAAAAACCTTGGACACGGGATTACTATTGCCCCTATCACTTGGTCGGACCATGCACCCATCCTGACCACTTTCACTACACTACATCCAATTAGGGGAAGGGGAACTTGGTGACTCAACGAGTCACTCTTAGACCACAAAGAACAGGCAGCAGAAGTCCAAAGGACGCTTCCTAATTTCTTTGTGGATAACCAATACACAAATACAAACCAGAAAAGTGCTGGTGCGCATAAATATGTATAGAACCCCTCAAGTGTTGAGAAGCATTTTCAAACAGATGATACAGTGCAAGCAAGTGTGATCCCTTATAGGGTGTCTACAAGCCCAGGTATATATGTGTGTATGGAGAGAGGCACTAAGACTAGTGGTGTTGTGGAGAGAGGCACTGAGGATAGTGGTGTTGTGGAGAGAGGCACTGAGGCTAGTGGTGTTGTGGAGACCGCCTTGGAGACTATGGTGAGGCCTAATAGAAAGCAGTTGTTGTTGGGTGATTCCATTATAAGAGGTGTGGAGATGGACAATGGTGGTCTTGTGAGGTGTCTTCCCGGAGCTACTGCTCACAGAGACAGGAGACGTATCTGTAATATTGTTAAGCAAGCAAAGCAGGAAGGGGAATTGGATGTACTTGTCCATCTAGGGACAAATGACTTGGCTTGCAATGAGGTTTCAGAGGTTAAGGAAGTTTTTAGTGTTTTTGCCAATGATATACGGCAGGTTGCTTCCACACTGTCATTCTCTGAAGTTCTGCCTGTGCATAACACTCAGAACGACAGGCGGATGCGTATTAGGGACTTTAATTTGTGGCTTGGTGAATGGTGTCGGGAGCAAGGATTTGGCTTTATTTCTCATGGTAGCTCTGTTTGGAATGGAGATAAGCTGTACAAAAAAGATGGTTTGCATCTTTCTCAAAAGGGAACAAATGTTCTCAGTGAGCAGTTCAGAGGTTTTGCTAGGATGTATTTAAACTAGGAGGGGGGGGCAAAAGGGTGATAAAACATCAATCCAATTGTCCCCCAAAACAAGGACAGAAGGTGCCTGTAGCAAGTGTGTTAAAAAATGATAAGCTTAGAGTCATGTCTACAAATGCTCGCAGTTTAGGGAATAAGATCCATGAACTTGTGGCAATAATGGCAACTGATAGTGTAGATTTAGTCGCTGTTACTGAGACATGGTACAATGAGAAAAATGACTGGGACATAGCAATACCAGGGTACTCTTTATATAGGAAAGATAGGGAAGGCAAGAAAGGGGGAGGGGTGGCCTTGTATGTGAAGGATAGCATAAAATCTAGCCTAATAAAAGTTAGTGAGGCAAACATAGAGTCCGTTTGGGCTACGTTAGAATTTGGTAATCACACAGTAACTCGTGTAGGTGTGATTTATAGGCCCCCAGGACAAATTGAAGAGTTAGATAATCTACTAGTTGAGGAAATAGCTAAAATGACAATGAAGGGGGAAGTTATCATTATGGGTGACTTTAATCTTCCTGATGTAAATTGGAAAACAAAATTAGCTACTTGTGCCAGGAGCACACATATTCTAAACTCCCTACTGGGATTGTCTCTAAAACAAGTTGTTGAGGAGCCAACTCGTAAAGAGGCCATACTAGATTTAGTGTTAACAAATGGAGATTTGGTATCAGATATTACTGTAGGTGAAAGTTTAGGATCCAGTGATCATCAGTCAGTGTGGTTTAATATAAGAACAGTGACTGAGTCACACCACACAAAAACAAAAGTTTTAGACTTTAGAAAAACAGACTTTTCTAAAGTTAGAATATGGGTAGAGGCGTCATTATCAGACTGGAGCAATTTAAATGGAGTCCAAGAAAAATGGGATTATTTAAAAGTTGCTCTATTGAAGGCAACAGAAAATTGCATTAGGCTTGTCAGTAAAAGCAAAAAATTCAAGAAACCACTGTGGTACTCCGCAGATGTGGCCAAAATAGTTAAAAACAAAAAGTTAGCATTTAGGAATTATAAAAAAACCCAGAGTGAGGAAGACAAAATGATCTATAAGATTAGGCAGAAAGAGGCTAAGCAAGTTATAAGAGCTTCCAAATCACACACAGAAGAGAAAATAGCACAGTCAGTAAAAAAGGGGATAAAACATTTTTTAGATACATAAATGAGAA